AACATAAAGGAATAAGAGACTTACATTTTAAGACTCTTAAGGATATCTGTTAAATCATTAGCTGGTCATTAAGTCAATCAAGCTGAAAGTCCAATGTCCACAGATTACAAAAAACACAGACTTCACAGAAGAGATCAAGGAGTCACTAAACAGATAAACAGAAAATAGCAAACAGGCAAACAAAAACCAGACAGCAGTCACAAGAATAATGAATCAGTGGATTGCGGTATTCTTTGAAAAGATCCACAAAATTGGAAAACCTTTAGCTAGACTGAACAAGAAAAATTCTGAGAAGAAATTACTAAAATCAGAAATGAAAAAGGGAACATGATTACCAACTGGGAAGAAATAAAAGAACTGTAAGGGAATTCTGGGAACAACTGTATGCCAATAAATTAGATAACTTAGATGAAATAGTCATATTCCTATAGAGACACTAACTAGTGAAACTCAATCAAGAAGAAATACAAAAGCTATATAGATCTATAACAAGAAATTAAATTAGGAATTTTAAAAATTTCCACAAAGAAAGCCCATGGCCATATGATTTCAATGGTGATTCTTTTAAGCATTTTAAAAAGAAATAACAACTTTTCTTCAAAGACTTTGAAAGATGAGAAGAAGGACACATGCCAATTCATTGTAAAAGAATGTAAAAGAACAAAGTTAGAGACTGCTTCACGCCAAACAAAATATTAACTCAAAATAGATCAAAGACCTAAATATAAGAGCTAAAAATAGAAAACTATTAGAAGAAAACAAAGGAGTTAGTCTTTGTGAACCTGGTTTAGCCAATGATTTCTTAACTATAAAAATAAAAGCTCAAGCAACCAAGAAAAACCCAACCAGATAAATCAGACTTCTTCAGAATTAGAAATTTTCCTACTCCAAAGGACACCACGAAGAAAGTGAGAAGACAACTCACAGAATGGGAGAAGATATTTGCAAATCTTATAGCTGATAAGGCACTAGTATCCAGAATATATAAAGAATTCATACAATTCAATTATAAAAAGGAAAAATAACCCAACTTAAAACGGGCAAAAAATTTGAATAGGTATGCCTTCAAAGAAAATAGTGTGCTAAACACATGAAAAAACTCTCAACATCATTTGTCATTAAAGAAATGTAAATGAAAACCACAGAAAGATATCACTTCACACCTACTAGAATGGAAAAAATAAAGACAGACATAAGAAGTGGTGGTCAGAATGTGGAGAAATTGAAACCATCAAATATTGATGCTGAGATAGAAAATTGGTGCAGCCACATTGGAAAACAGTTTGGCAGTAGCTCAAAACATTAAGGGCAGACTTAACATATGACCCAACAATTCCATTCCCAGGTAGATACCAAACAGAAATGAAAACATGTGTCCACATGAAAAGTTGATGCATTATGTTAGCAGTATTATCCAGAATGGCCAAAGGATGGAAACACACCAAATGTCCATCAGTTGATGAGTGAACAAATGTGCAAACCAAATAGTTCTTCCATTCACCAGACTAGTAGAGTGGATCTTCTTAAGCAAAGAGGCTCTGGAATTATACCACCTGGATTTAAATTCCAGCTTTGCCTCTCTTTATTCAAGCTACTTAATCTTGTGTTTCTAGAAGTCTATGCTGTAAATAATACTGCCTACTCCTTGTGGGAATTTAATAATGAGATTATGCATTTAAACCAGTGCATGTCACAAACCAAATACTAAATGCATATTAACTATTATTAGTGTTGTTACTACTGTTATTTAACCATTTCTTGGCTTTATAAATAAAACATAAACTTCTAATACTTCGCCATTCCAGGATATGCTAGAGAAGGATTTTATTCCTTACATCCTCTTGATCCACTTGGTTCCTGTCATAGGGGAGGTGGAGAGGTAGAGGAGAAGGACTTACATCATTTGTCAGAGCATGGTATTCATTGTGTCATATGATCAGTGGTTGAGGCTTCCTCTCTTTTGCAGTTTGTCTCAAAGATTGTTCAGAAAGGTCAGGGGTGTCCCCTGTTTTCTGCTCTCATGGAACAAGCTGCATACAAGACTACATAGAGGCAGGCCAGGTGACTCTCCTCTTTATCTATCAATCTGACCCAATGATAACTGGGTTTGTGAGATGGGTTACATATTACGTGTCATTGAGTAGGTGAGTTCAGACTTTTCTGTATACTTGAGCATCCCCAGAATGGAACCCAAGATCTCAGTTTAGAAAAAAGAGCATAAAATAGGTAGCTTTCTTTTTGACCTTCAATCTAATCCACATCCTCGAATCCAGTTTTTCCTGGCAGATCTGCCCCTCTGAACCTAATTTAAAGTCATTACAACAAATCACATAATTTGATCTTCATTTAGCGACTTGTTGCAGGGGGGTGTAGGGAAAATTTTCACTTCAAACATTAGAAGACATAAACAGAAGATATCTAGCCTTCTTTAACATTTTTGTTTCAAAAATTAGTAGTTCAATGAAAAGTATGTAGAGGAGATTATTTCAGAGTGCTACAATTAGTTCCTAATACAGAATGGCAAAAGCTAAAGGTCACAAGAACCATAAGAGGATTATGGGATTCCAAGTGTTTTTCTTAATGGAAGGCCCAACAACTTGCTCAGGTTTCCCTGATAAGAAACTTGGAAGTTTGTCATTGATGCCTTCTCTTACCCACACTCGATGTCCAAATTAATCATGTTCTTCAGGCCCTACACAATCATTTCAAATCTGGGCACTTCTGCCACAACCTCAGACTTAGCTATCATCCAATTTTTATCAAGAATATTGTCAAAACCTCTTAATGTTCTCCTGTGTCCACTTGTGAGCATGTATGTCCAGTTCATTCTCCACTTTGTAGGCAGAGTAATCATATTAAAGTGTAAAAATAATTCTCTCACCCTCCTCTCTAAAATCCTCCCTTGGCACGCCAGGGCCCTCACTGTAAAGTTAAAATGGGTAATGTCGTTGAAGGAGCAGCTCTGCTCCTTCAGCCCACATCCATTATCCTAATCTTACCTTGAATCTCTCTCTTTTGATTTTTGAAGCCACAAATACACTTGACTTATTTTAATACTTCCAGAGCAGTAATTTCATTCCTGTATGGCGGCATTTGCACATGTTGAACCCCTTGCCAAGAATGTTCTGCCCCTGCCACAGACACCCTGAAACAACTAAAGCACCTCCCTTCCCCAGATTTGATCTCCTCACACACTGATAGTGCTTTACAGTTTCTGCCTTCTCTCAGGTACAACTCCCCACATCCTCCATTCCCCACACAGGGCTTACTCAACCTATGATGGTAAGGAGGAGTTTAAGAAATCTTAGGTATTTCTCTCTTACAGCATAGAGGCCAAAAGTGTTGTAAAGGTAAGTACTAATAATTCTTCTTAATCCAGCTGAAGGTTCTCTTTAGTTTACTTCTCTTTAAAGCAGAGGAACCTCTGCATTGACCTCTCAGACATCCCTTCAGACTGAGTGTTTATGAAATATAGGTCCAGTCATATCAAACATCTCTGATAGTTCTCCCTCTCTATACTTAATAAGATTGAGCTTCCCCAGAGCAGACACTATATTAAAATAATGCTTCCAAATGACTCTTCTGTTCTCTCCATAGTTCTGTGGTAACACATGTCAGGTCTTGGTCACTCAGACCTGGTGCTCTCTCTTTCTAAAAACCCTGACTAGAAGTTCATATAACTACTCCTACCTTCATACCATAGAAATCCATGTGTTAATTACCTCCAGAATGTAAATTCCCCAAGAAAAATAATTTGTTTTTATACTCTAGGGCTTAACTTTCCCGTATTCAAATATCAAGGAAACCAAAAGAACAGAGAATATTAGATAAAGATGAGGCACATTTCTCCCAGATTGGAGAAGACTTTGAATCTACTCTTATCCCATCATCTGTGAATTACATTGGGACATTGACGAGTACAGTGTCTTTTTGTTGTAGTTGTTGCTATTACAGATGTGGAGAAAGCTAGAAACCTCCCCTGTCTTCTTTGACTGCCTCCAATCTCCTTGTGGATCAGCACCAACAGCAATCTTTTGTTTCCTTATCTTTATGTCACCATTCCCCTCATGGGTCACAGTTGCCAAGGAGGGACTATGAGGAGGGTGGTCTAAAGGGGCCACATCTCCTTCCTTGTCAAACCTATAAGATAGAATAGACGCGCATAAGGAGGCCTGAACTTGGGTGGTTTGGTGGAGGGTGATGATGGTAATGCAGAGACGGTTATCTGAGCAGAGAAAAGGTCTCTACTAGGAATCAAGAACCCTGGTTTCTACTCCTGGCTCTTTTACTACTTGTGTGACTGTTGGTTTGTTATTTGCCCTCTCTGGGTTTCCTTTACCTCTTGCTAGGAAAGAATGTATTGGGAACAATTGCCTTCAAGCTTCTTTGTGATCCCAAGAGTGCTAAGAATCTACAGTCTCTTTCATTAGCAAATTTCCTCATGAATATCTTCAGTTTTTACCTTTGGTGTCACATGAATTGTGCCAAAGATAGCTGGAGAAGTGACTCACGTCACAATCTATCTCAGGGCCTCCATAGGACTAGGGACCACACATTTACCCTACAAAATTTACACCAAATTCTGCATGTGGTAGATATTTTTGTAGATGTTAAATTAAAAATAATAATTCAGAAACAGAGAACAAAGACCATAGAGGACAGGATATTAAGAGTACATGAAATAATTAGTTGATAGTCAGAAATATCGATTTCAGTTTCCTGATAGCCTGGGGATTTAGAGAACAAAAGGAACTAAAACAACCTAATCCAGCATCAGGTGTTGGGAGCCTGTCCTTACCCCCGTTCTCTACAGCAAACATTGTTCCCCCAAAGCCCAAACGTACATTTAAAGGTGCACTCAATCCACCCCAACCTAGAATACCAGCTTGTGCCATGGGAGGTCACCTCATCTTCTCTCATTCCACTCCCTGGGATCTTAGAACAAGTGGAGGTAGAAACCATCAGCCCAAAAGCCTAGGAAGGCATGTCCTTGGACCTACCTTTCTTCAAGCCAGCAACGTCTGCGGGTGTCTTATAAGTGCCAGAAACTCTAGGCAAGTACCTTCAGTCCAGGTACAATAACTTGTCCCCACTCCACACCTCTGCATTCCTCTTCTGGCAATTTGTCTGGTTGCCAAAGGTGGTGCTGAATATTTCTGAGTTGCACAATTAGTTCCTTTTTTAAATCGGATGTGCTAACTGAGCCTGTGTCCCTAGTATGGGTGTGGAAGTCTGTTGTGAAATTTGCTGAATGAGCAGTTACTCCCTCACAAAGTCTTTTATAGGAAAATAATAGGGGTTATTACCACTATTACTGGTATATCAGTGTATATGGTACATATCAGTGGAGATCAGTGGTTGAGGATTTATTGTATGTCAGACTCTGCTCAAAGGACTTTGTATACACGAACTAATTTAACGACATTTAAAAATCATTTGAAAAGCCACTTTTCACAATTTCACACATTCTCCTTGTCTCCCTGGAGACCTGTGTGTTGTTACTATATACATAACTTAAATGTATTGTTTGCATGAATTTCCACCAGTAGAGATGAATATCTGTAGAATGTCAACAAGTCTCTTGCATGGCAATAATTAATGTGGCACTTTTCTAAATCAAAGAGGAAGCTGGTATCATAGAAAGAGGCTTGCCTTTGCCTAAGACAAACCCAATACCAGTCACTTAGTGCGTGACTTTGTTATTTCTCTAAAGCTAAGATTCCTCATTTGCAACATAAAATCAATATTTACTTTATAGGGAGGAGGAAAGCAAAGTGGTGTTCAGTTCTCATTCATTCAACATTCTCTTAGAGAAAAATTGCCATCACCCAAGCAGTGTGCTATGTGCTGCAAATAAAATGGTGAAAAAGGATAGAGTGCCTGCCCTCGAGATTATGGGACATACACACAAGTAAACATACCATCATAATCCAGGAAAGCAGTTCTCTGTAAGGTAAACAAGAGTATTCTAAGAGAGCATATAGGGAGCTCAGTTAATCCACCCCTGGTGATGCAGAAAAGACTTCCTGGAGGAAGGGACATCTAACTAGAGACTTGCTGAATGAGTAAGAGGCAGACAAATTAAAGGACTGTTAGACAAAGGAGAGTAAGAGGTTTCCAGACAGAGTCAACAGAATGATGAAAAGCCTTCTCTGTTTACTGGCATATTTTTAAAATTAAAGCACGATTCTTCCAATCATTATGGAACCAGACTTCCTCTCCCACTCTGCACAATTAGAAAATTGGAAAACATTTTAAACACTTGTGGGCATTGGACAGGAGTCAATGTAGGGCTTTCCACATTGAGAAAATGGAAACAAATGTAAATATAACAATTGTTCTGATTTTCTGCATGAAGGATCTTTCCAGACCATGGTCAAGGAGATGGATTCAAGGAGATGGATTCTGGATCTTATTGCACTGAGAAGATAGAGATCAGAGTTTTAAGGAGCTGAGGCAGCTGGAATTAGTGTGCAGAGAACCATAAAATAAGTAGCTATAGCAGAGACAGAGTTTCTGAAATCTGCAAGAAAGTCTTTTTAAATTTATTGTCAAATAATACACATTTACAGGCTGAAATTCCAAAAGTCCTATCAAAGAATAACCAGGTTCATTTACCTGCCACACAGGAAGGCCAATAACTGGAACGCCTGGCTAGCGGCAAGGAAAGATGTTTATTATAGAAAGGCAGCCAGACAAGGAGATGCGAGTTCATACTCAGATCCACCTCCTTGAAGGGAAAAAGGGAAAGATTTTTATCCGGGGTTTTAGGCAGAGAAACGGGACATGTAGCTTTGGGGCTGGAGTTCTAAGAATCCTCTGCACAGGAAGGACTGCTTTTCATATTTCTACATGGATCACATATGCAAATTTGGGGGGGGTGTTCTCTGTGTTGCATGCAGTGGATTTCTAGTCTGTGCTGTCTAAAATTGACAACTGGTCATTTTAGCATCTCAATGCTCCTATGTGATGCTTAGTCAGGTGGGGCTGGGGCTGTCTGCAACTGCTCTCTTATCAGTGGTCCTCCAGCTGTTCTGCAAAGCAAGCTCAGAAACTTTGGTTACTTTGTTTCCCACGTTAACCTTGTGGTTACAAGGCAGGATTTCACCCTAAACCAGGGAAATTGTAACTCCTTCATGCTCAGTTTTGTTATGCATTAGTAATAAATCTAAACTAGCCAAAAGTCATAACAAGTCTAAACTCTCCCTATAAAAGCCTTAAAAAGTCTCAAAAGAATCAAACTGAACTTAACCGCCTGCCCAAAACAGGGCAATACTCTTTGATAAAAAGAAAATTTGAGCAGTCAACCACAAAATGTGACAATTTCCAGCATCCATTCAAAAATTATTATTCATGCCAAGAAGCCACCATATCACATCTGAATGGGAAGTAGGCAGTACCTGGACTTACTGTTTCCAATTTCATTTAATTGATTTTTGCTCTGTAATAAATCAAATGTACTTAATGAACATTCAGTAAATACCATGTGTTGCTCAATCACATATATGGCACTGGATGCAAATTTGATTAGGGTATAACCCTGCCCTGTAGGAAAGAGAATGAGAGAGAAAGGGAAGAAAAGGAAGGTGAAGAGAGAGAGAGAAAATACAGGTTGTATCTGACCAGGATGTGATTCTTACTCTATGTGTATTTATACTCAAATAATAGTTTGTGCACATGTGAGTACTGACTGTGCTAGTCAAAGGTATTTTCTATGGGAGAAGCCTAGCAGGAAAAAGAAACAGAGGGAAGAGCCATACATCTCAATTTTCTGCAGGAAAAATCACCTTGCATTCCTAAAGCCAGGACAAGAAAGTCAAACAAGTGGGAAGAGCATTGGCCAGGGAAGCAGAAATATGTAGTCTGCATGGAGGCCTCACTTCAGCAATATCTTTTTTGCCCTTCTTCTACCAAATCTTCTTTACCACCTTCATGTCCTTTTATAAAAGTCCTGAAGATGGAGGAAAAATTTTCAAGGGCTCTTGATTCATAAAATGAATGTTATATTTATTTAACTTCTGCTATTGTGAATAAAGAACCAGTGAAATGAGTTGTTGAGTTCTTGGGGAAAAATGAGAACATCGCTCTGAATTTTATAGGTGTAAATATATTAATGTAAGAGTTGGATTCTGGCACTTTCCCAAGTGGAGTTCTTTCATAACTGTCAAGAAAGGTTTTCTGGAACATTTTGCTGTTAATCTGTTGGTGGTATCAAATGTGCTCTCACTGGTGCAGGAGATGCTGTTTCTGCCATGTGAGGATTTGTCATAGGAATGAACACAACCTGTGGAATCAATCAGAATGCCATAGGTGAGTCAAGCAAAAAACCTCAGACTTTTCCTTTCCTATCCACACAATGTCATCATTATCAGAGTCTACTGTTTCTTCTCTGAATTCAGTCTCAACATCAACTTGGTGGGGTCTCTCAGGCATTCTTTGGATGAGGCTATATCTAGGAAAACCATTCAGTGAAGGCTTTTGGCATGACATGCTGACAGCTGTTGCTGTGGTCTTGCAAGTGGATGGATCTACTATGTGGATGAGGGTGCCCAACAAGCTGGGTAAACCTAAGTGTCATGGAAAATATATCGAGTTCTTCTACCAAACCTGGTTGTTCATGCTGATGACAACAGCATACCCAAATCATTGATTTGCTGGCCATGACAAAAACATTGCAAAAACCACACTGATCAACATGGCAGGAATCATTAGGAAACGAAGGGAAATGCTGGTCCTTCTTCCACAAATTCAACGTGAAATGGAGTGCATGTTGGAGGAGATCTAGGAAGAGATAGAGACTTAGGAATTTATGTCCCAAAGCCATTGCTTTTCTTGATTCACACTTGCCAATTCTATAAGAAGTGGAATTAGCAGGAGCAATATTTCCCAGCTCTGTAACTAACCTAGGAGCAGAAGGGAACACAGGCCTAGATATTATGATGTGAATATTACTAAGGAGCTTGCCCCCTGGTTCAAATGCTTCACTTAATGAAATTACAAAATCACTGGATTTGCTGAGAAACTCTAGCTTCTAGGGTCTTATAACTCAAGAGTCCACTAATAAAGTCAATGTGATTTAGTCAATCTCTCTTCTGTGGGGAAGGGCTCTGGGGGTGGGGGATGTGGCGTAGCATGACAGCCCCAAAAGAAAGTAAAAAGGAAGAAAATGGGGGGAAAGAGCACAAAAAAAATAATCTTATCGAACTACTGTTATTTTGTGATTTGGGTTTAGCCTTTGTTTGACCAGACCTTTGAGTAATGAAACTAATGAGCATCTCCTGGGCTTTAATATCTATTTTCTTACCCTGCAACCCTCAACTGTTGGAAGATATCCTTGTTCTATTCTTCCTAGTGCCTCTGGGTCTCTTGTGTCCTCTCACTTCCCAATCCCCTCCAGGTGACATCCTTTCTGCTCAGCAGCCAGGAGGATCTGCAGGTCTCAGGGTGAGAGGATGGGCAGGTGTGCACACACTCTCATAGAAATGTGAAACCCTGGCTTTCTTCATCAGCCCATGGAAGACTGCAATCATAGGATAATAGAGTAACATCTGGCACTCCTTGAGGACCTCTCCATTGTGAAGCATACTCTGCTCTAGACTAAGAGAGGAGGCCCTTTGAGGGGTTAAGGATGAAGAAAAGTACTTTTCTTTATCCATTGTGATAGGCAGAATTCTAAGACAACACGTGGTCACACATGTGCATGTATGATTCCCTTGCCTGCAGTATGGCTGGGACCTTTGTTTATGATGGGATATCAAAACCGTGAATAGGTTGCTACTCAGTTGACCTTGAGTTTATCCAAATGGAAATTATTGTAGATGGACTTGATCCAATCATGTGAATCATTTAAAAGAGGCTTAAATTACCAAAAACGTTTTCTTTCCTGTAGGCCTCAATGTAGAAATAAGTTGTCATGAGTTCCACAGCTGAGAGGGAATGAATTCTGCCATGTGAGCATGGAAGAGGACCAGAGGCCTCAGCTGAGACCACAGCCCCAGCCAAGTCCTTAATTACAGCCTTATAAATCCTGAGCAGAGAACCCAGCCAAGCTGTGCCCAGACTCTTGACCCATGGAAGCTCAGAGATAATTAATGAGTGTTGTTTTATGCCTCTATGTTTGTGTAATC